CGGTGGTGGTGGGAGCTTCTCCTGCCTCCTCAGCAGCGCTAAGGATGTCCGACTGCAGTTTAGGCCTGCTCCCCGCTGGCAAGTGGACATCCCCCGAGGGCTGCCGGGCTGCCAGAGGGATGTCTGATTGCCATATTAGGCCCAATCCCCCGGGGAGCGGGCCTAAGCCAGCAGGTGGTCATCCCCCAAGGGGTCCCAGACTGCGAGAGGGCACAGGCTGGGCTCAGGGACCCCCCCTCCCCATCCCGAGTGCTCAAATTTTTGTGCACCGGGCCTCTAGTGTAAGGGAGACATGGCCTGGTTTTCCCCACATGTATTGGCTACAATAAATAAATAAAATTGGCTAGCTGTATAATGAACCCAAATTATTTTCAAGTTGGTCTGGGATAATGAAGACACTATTCCTTCAGGAGGCCTGACTTCCAGGACCAGCTCACAGCCAATCAGCTAAGTGCCTTACACTCTCTAGGTCCCTAGTCCTGCAACAGCACAATGGAGGTATTGGGCTGGTGTTGCATCCTGAAGATCTCTCCCAGGACTCAAATCCTATGATTCTTCTCCTTCTCATTGGTCCTCTCTTCTCTGAGCTGAAATATTTTACTATACATTTTTAGGTTGATTTGCTTAATCTTGCTCAGTTAAAGCCTTTAGGGAATAAAAACAATAATGTTTGAAGGAGGAAAGTCTATCATCAAAATAAAGGAATGCTAATCTTTATATAATTTTTAAAAGTGTAATTATGTCTATATAGGATTATAATAGGTAAGAAAAATTCAAGTCTAAGTATAATGGGTGTTTTCATTTCCAGAAAGCCAAGTTATAAACAATGGCTTTAAAATTTGACTTGAATTTTATAACAATAAAGATGGATTCTTCTGAAATATCTAGACATCAGTCTATATATTAAAAATCCTTCTTGAGTAATGTTCTCCTGTGTTTATTTCTACTTGTTCTATTACAACAGATATCACGGTCAGTACTTTGCTGCAAAGGCCACTGGCTATAAGCACTTGGATTCATTGCCCTAAGTCCCAGGTCAAAGTCTGCTCTTGTTGGCAGTGAGATGAGAGCATTTAAGAACCATCTGTAGATGGGCTGGAGGAGTGTCTCCTGCCTAACTTCGAGGAGGGGTGGGTGGTGGTGGCACAAGAGGCGGACAGGAATGGAAGCGACGTTCCATGGGGAAGTGAAGGTAGGCCTCACTAAGAAGAGGACAGTTGAGCAGGAGTCAACCTTGAACCTCTTTGGGGGAAGGGCATTCCAGGCAGAATACAGCCAGAGCCCTGTGGCAACAGTGTGCCCACAAGGGCCGGTGTGGCCAGAGCAGTGCAAGAGGGAGTGTTCAGAAGAGAAGATCGGAGAACGGAGAACGGAGTGGGTATGAGGCCGATTGTACAGCGCCCCATGGACCACGCTCAATGCTTTGAAATGTACTTTTACTTCTCAGAAAGGCGGGCGTCATGAGGGGTTTTAAGCAGAGGGCATTTCCGGGGGAGCCCTCTGGCTGCAGTGTTGAAGTTGACTGCAGGAGGGCAAGGATGAAACAAACCAGTGTGGAGGCTAATGTGGTAGTCTAGTCAGTCTGGGACTTACAGCAGCTCAGGCCAGGCGTTAGCAGTGGAGGGACTAAGACGTGTTTTCTTAACATCGATTCCATGTGGGACGTGAAACAAATAAGAAAAAGGAGCCAAGAATGACTCCAAGGTTTTTGGCCTGAGCAACCAGAAAAGCGGAGGTGCCATCAGCTGAGATGGTAATAAAATGAAATTGCCAACTCATGAACAAATCTCTGTTTTGCCTTGTTACTTAAAAAAAAAAAAAAGATTAGTTTGCTAAACTAGCCACTGTGTCATGCCAGTTATCATTCCAATTTACCCACGAGCTTGTTCTTTTGTGCTCACATCATTCTCCCTGCCTGTGATAATCCACCTCTTTCCTCCTCTTTCCGACCAACATAATGGGATAGTTCAAGTTCTATATACTCCAGAAAGCCTACCCTAACCACATCCCAATACTTCTGCCATTGTCTTTAATGTGCTATCTGTAATGAGTTATTTAGATCAAAAACTATTATTTATGGGACCACTGTTGAGTTTGTTCCCTGAATAACTATTTTTCCTAAAGTGCTTAACATTCTTCAACTTCATTCTCCAGTTTTATTGAGATATAACTGGCATGCAACATTATATTAATTTCAGGGATACAACATAATGATTTGATATTTGTATATCTTGTGTAATGATCACCACAATATGTCCCTCACACACATAGTTACACATGCTTTCCTTGGGATGAGAACTTTTAAGAGCTGCTCTCTTAACAGCTTTCAAATATACAGCACAGTATTATTAACCATAGTCACCACACTGTGTGTTACATCCTCGGGAGATATTCATCTCATAACAGGAAGTTTGCACCTTTTGACCACCACCACCCATTCTACCTACCGCTCACTCCCCACCTCTGGCCAACGACCAATCTGCTCTCTGAACATCCTTCCACTTCTGATTCTTTTTACTCATCTTTTTCACCAAAAACTCACTCAAAAAATGCCACCCCAACCTGAATGACTGCTAGCGTGTTCCAGGCTCTCTTGTGCCTTTCAGCCCTTCCCCATTCACCTGCCTGTGGCTCCCGCCTTTGGTCTCCGCCAGAACCTGCTCAGACTGCTCAGCATCCCCAAATCTTGACATTTCAAGACCATTCACCATACAAGAGATTCTGAAAGCCCCATTGTTCTGATGCTCTGACTCAAGCGTTTCCCTCTGTGTTGGGCTGGCTCCTGCACCTGGGCTTTCATGTACAGACACTTCAAGAACTGTTGGTAGACTCCTGGGTGAGCTGACTCCACAGAAGTGCCTGCATGAACTAACCACGCGTAGCACTCAGCGCCCAGGGGCGCGCTCCTGAATCTGCCAGGGCCAGCGCACCTCTCCCAGTGCTAGAAGTTCGAGAACTCCTGAAGTAAATAATTGAGTGTCACTTCCACTTACTCAGGCCTGTTGTTGGTTTCCAGATATTTTTACAACAGGGAGAAAGTCATTACACTTTTTTAAAGGGGGAAGGGAACCTCAGTTTCCCCTGGGCCTCATTTCTCTCCTCTCTCCATGTGAACTGGGTTTCTCATCCAATTAAATGAGACCAACTTCCACTCCCCAAACTATACCCCTGGCCCCAACATCTCTTCTGGGCTTCGTTTACTGACTGCATACACAGGGCTCACCCTGGAAATGTGTAGGCTCCTCAAACTCGGAGTAGTCAACATTGAATCACTCATCTCTCCTTCCCCCTGCTTCCCTTCTTATATTTCCTAGCTTGGTTTCTTGCACAGTGCTCAAAGCAAACAAGAACCTTGATGTCATCTTTAACTCTTTCTATTCTCTTAACAATAACGTGACTCTGAATTTTCTCTTAAGTGCCTGTCTGTGCCTCCATTCTCCACTCACAAAAGGGCCGATGGTTATCTGGAACCTTCCTTCACTCCAGCTGATCTCTATGTTGCTGCCAGTGATCCCTCTAAAACACAGATTTGATCTAATTTTCCCCTGCTTTAAAACTTCGAAAGGGTTCCTATTGCCTATGGAATCAAGTCCAAATTCTTTGCAGAGAGCACAGGCCCTCTACACTCTGATCCTTGGCCACACTTGTAGCATTCCTTTGTCACTATCCTCCACCCCAAGTCACCCTCAGCTCCAGGAATGAACTCACTGCATTCCCTAAAAATCCCCCTGAATTTCCCAATTCCATATTTTCACTATGCTGCTCTCTCTACATGTGTAGTACTTTCCCCTTTTCTTTCCTTTGCATTTCTACTCATCTTTCAAGACAAAATAATGTGAATTTATTCTTTTAAAAATAAATATGGCAATGATCACTCTATGCCAAGTGGTACATGAAGCTGTCCTAAAATATGTAACAGGCAGTCCCAGCCCTCGAGGAGCATTGGGAAGGTGTAATTAGTCTCCACAGACAAAGCCAGAACTTGCTTGTACCCATTGATAATAGAATGGGGTACTGATGCAACAGTTGGGTAACCAATGTGAAGGCATACTCTGGCAACATTTCGGACACCCTCCAGGAAGCGGGAATGCAGAGTTTCCTCTGTGATGTCAAGCACTTCCGGGTTGTAGATGCTGCCATTGTCAAACACCTGCTGGGTGATCAGCCCAAAGGAGAAGGGGGAGATGCATGTTCAGCATGTTCAGCAGTGTGGCTTCGCTGGCTCCCACTTTGTCTCCAGTCTTAATCAGTTGGACATCACTCAGGATTTCAATGGTGTCCCTGGAGATTTTAGTGGTGATGCCTAGAGCCTGGAAGAAGGAGGTCTTCTCTGGCCCCAGACCAGTGTTCTGGGCTGGCACAGTGACTTCACACGGGGCAATGGCACCAGCATGGGCAGCAGCTGGCACCTTATTGGCCAGCAGCATGTCCCGGATCTCAGTGAGGTCCTTCTCGGTGAACACAAAGCCCACATTCCCCCGATATGAGGCAGCAGTTTCTCATAGCCGGGTTGTTTTCCAGGTGTCCTCGGATGGCCTTGCGCATCATGGTGTTCTTGCCCATCAGCACCACAGCCTTCCCGCGGAGGGACATGCGGATCTGCTGCCTCTGCTTGGAGCCCACACTGTTTGCTCCCACAATGAAGCATTTTGGACAATCATCCAGAAGTTGGATGATCTCAAGGAAGTAGTTGGACTTCCAGCTCGCCCTGTCTTCCCTGGGCATCACGGCGGTGCGTCAGGGATTGCCACGCAGGGTTTAAAGACGATGTCACTCCCACGAGGACGCCTGGCGAAAGCTACAATTTTTTTTCTTAATATCGACTTTTTTATTTTTCAGATAAATTCAGTGTAGGTGCATCTTAGATAAATAAATAATTTTACATAACAAGTTATCTTAAAGACCATAGACATGGATTGACGAGAGAGGGAAGGAGCAATTTCAATAGTGTCGAAAACGAACTATTGAGAACTTGGAATGCCATTCCAGAAAATTTTTTCTGTTTAAAAAACTTTACAACAGCGTTACTCTCCATGTTTTCATCCACATACGCTTGTGAATCTTTGTTCTCAGTGATGAATTTTGTTAAGTCTCATAATAGGAGTAGCCTGACGGATGAAAGTAGTAGCTCGTGCATATCTCTGAAGGTCACGAAACATAAACCTGATGTAAAATCTCTGTCATCAGTGATGCAGCAGCAAAAGTCCCACTGATAATATCAAATGGAGTCATAAAGTTTTCTGTCGGACTATCAGTGTACATGTATACATTAAAAAATAAATGTATTTTTCATCATCATATACTGTGCTTTTGTCGCTCGAATGAATTTTATTTCTTCAAGGTCTTCACATACGTACACCTTAAGAG